AGGTAAAAGACCCCGCGGACGACCCACCAGACCCACCCCATCTGTTGCATGTCTGTGACTTGCATTTTGAACCAACTCCGGCATCACTTTCGGACCACAAATGGGCCCGAATCACAGTTTAAGAACCACTGGTTTAGATTATTGAGATGTCACGAAATTGAGTCTTCAAACTTATAAGTGCTTATCATGTTCTTCTAAAATAATTTGGAATATTGTGATTTGTTTTTGGCTGACGCCTTCAGCAGTTCTCAAAAAATATTCGTACGAAAAACATTTCAAGTCTTACAACTATGGCCGGAATGATTTTTCAAAAGTCATGATCTTTATCTGAGATCTTGATTTCGGAAATTTCGCGAAATAGAACCTAGCACTTGAGAGCTGGACTTTTAAAACACGATGTAGTGTAACCAGGTCCAAGAATCGTGTCACTCCGCATCTAAAATAAAAGTCTTAATTTACCGTCTTTGATTACGTAGACTTTCGTTTGTAAATCCTAGTAATAATAATGCATAAAGCAAATAATCGTTTCGTTAAAGTTAGTTTCTTTAGCAGCATTTGTCAAAGTATGTATGTAAGGCTCGTTTCCCCTACTCTGTGGACACAATGCAGATAGCCCATGTTTTGATTTTGCCGTCCAACAAATAAACATTATCATGACGATTGTTTCGTATTTTTATATTATTATATGGATTTAGAACTATCTTAAAATCTCCTCAACTGACAGAAACTTGTGAGGTATTAATTACAATCGAAAAATATTACTAAAAGCGTCGAATAAGTTAACTTAAATTCATCCCATGTCTAGAGAATGTGCTCGCTCTTTCAACCGTGGGGGCGTTATAATGTGACGGTCAATCCTACTTTTCTTTGGTAAAAGAGTAACCCAAGAATTGGCGGTGAATGATGTTGACTAGCTGCCTTCCCTCTAGCCTATCACTGCTAAATTGTGGACGGATAGCGCATATAGCCCTAATGTGGCTTTGAGCGAAATACAAAATATATCAAAACCAAATCGAGAAGGAGCCTGTGCTGAATCTGCTTTCAATGGCACCGTCCATCGCAGGTAATCATTATACAGTTGGGAAGACTAAAAACAATTGGATTAAAAAAGTCTTACTCAAGGACACGACAACATATCGCGAGCAAGCCTCGAACTCATAATGTGTAGACTAGGAATCTGAGGAACTAACACTCAACTTTGAATGTACTCAACGGAAAGTTTAATGCGTTCTACTCATTATAAGTTTTTATTTCACGACATTGCATACTCCCAGCTAACCGATGTATTGACTTAGTTACATTATTTATTGTGTTTAGTTTCATGCAGTTTAATTATTGTGTTTGTGTTTAGTTTCATGCAGGTTATTTAATGGGTTTGTGTTTAGTTTCATGCAGGTTATTTATTGGGTTTGTATTTAGTTTTATGCAGGTTATGTATTGGGTTTGTGTTTAGTTTCATGCAGGTCATTTAATGGGTCTGTGTTTAGTTTCATGCAGGTTATTTAATGGGTTTGTGTTTAGTTTCATGCAGGTTATTTATTGGGTTTGTGTTTAGTTTCGTGCAGGCTATTTAATGGGTTTGTGGTTAGTTTCCTGCAGGTTATTTATTGGGTTTGTGTTTAGTTTCGTGCAGGCTATTTAATGGGTTTGTGGTTAGTTTCCTGCAGGTTATTTATTGGGTTTGTGTTTAGTTTCCTGCAGGTACCTTCCTTTAGTGAAAAGTTATTGGTAAGTTATATATACATGTATTTAGTGAGGAACTCTTATAGAAATCGTGATGAACTATTTTAATTATTATTGTTGCTGTTTTTCAGATAATATTTATATTATTTTTCTTTTGATTAGGCATGCCACCTGGAGCCTACAACACCATAATTAGCAGATCGCGGGTTTATATTTTAGTTAATGGTAGCTTGACCATTACCACTGTCCATAAAGAAGATGAAGGTTTGTACCTATGTGAGGCCAGTAACGGTTTAGGTCAACCAATCAGTTCAGCAATAACCTTAACCGTCCACAGTAAGTACTGTCCAACAACAAGTTGGGCAATGAAATACTTCATTGGTGACATCTCGTATTTAAAACAGTTATGAATTGCGACAAAATACTTCAAATATTATTTGGATAAACCTCTATTTTGGGTCATTTTTTTACCCATGTGTTTGTTGCTTCACTGATTACATTCTCTGAGTTTATTTGAAGGATTAGTTTGAATCAACGCGTGTTAACAGATCACCAGTTATTTCACACATTTCGTACATTAATTGATGGTATTGAGATATTTAAATTATAGAACTATAGCTCGCGCAGAAATTACATCTCAATGCTTTCATTACAATCCCCTGAAGTTTTACGTGTCATTAAAGTTTAAAATGTTAGACATTTTCTAATTAAAACTGACAATGAAATGATCTCAAACTCTGCACGTTGTTTTCTGACATTATCCAGAACACGTTTTTTTAATCTTTTAAAGCACCCGCATTTCTTTGACGAGTTGTTCTAGCGTGTAGGAATGGCCAATTACTGAGTGTATCGTGCACGTCTGTGAGACTCGTTGACTAACAACACTTCTATACGTACACGTATACAAGTTCTCACAGTCCCTTAGATTTTTGATAAATCCTTCTCGTGTGGAGGAAAGACCAATTATTGGAGGTATATTGTACATCTGTAAGACTCGTTGCCTAGCAACACATGTATACGTAAAAACACTGCATACAAAAACACTGAACAGTTATATTACATTAAAACCTAGAAATGAAAAGGGGCGTTACAATATTTTCATACGCAATGAACTTAAATTTCAGTTGAACAAGTTACGTTACTGATAAAAAAAACAACAACTAACGAATATATATTTTTTCACAACTGGCTATAGAACATAATTGATGGTTCAGGTGTAAGTCGTTATTGGATAGAGTGCCTTTTTCTGCTCCTCATTTTGTATTCTAACTTACAGTTTTACAACTGAAGTTTACCAGCGGAAGTTATGTCTGACAGACAATGTATATCCACCGATAGCTCATGGTTCGCGTCCCGTTGCCGCAAAAGCACACTCTTCACTTCGGGGTCTTTGGTGCGTTATAAGAGTGACAGTAAAATCCCACTATTTGGTCTGGAAATAATAGCCCAAGAGTTTGCAGTTAATTCTGTTTACTACCTGATATTCCTTCAGTCTATTAGCTACGACGTGAAACAAACAAACACATCCTATTTGTACTGTTCTCACCCCTTTCGACTAATATGCATTCTACCTTTCCCATTCTGTGAATTGTGCGCTAATTTTGTCCATCCTGTGTGTACGACACTAACTGTTTATGAGTTTGTATACCTCCTGTTGCATATACACATGTTGAAGTGAACGAAATCTGTGGCTCGTATAAACGAGCAAATGACAACACTACGACTGTAACTAACATAGGAGCAACACAACGCCTGTAGCTAACACAGGAACGACACTACGTCTAAAACTAAAACAGGGACAACACTACGTCTGTACCTAACACAGGGACGACACTACAACTGTAACTAACACAGGACAACACCATGCCTATAACTATCGCAGTTACGACACTACTTCTATAACTATCCTAACGACGATTCTACGCCTATAACTAGATGTACTTTAGCAGGGTCCCAGAAGGTGTTCTGTTTCAAGAGTAAATAAAACCAAAATAATAATAACAAATGTTTATATTTCTTGCTTTTGAAGTTCTTATGTCATGCTGTGTTGTAACCTACAGAGTACAAAATTCTTCTCGTACTGACAGTACAAATTGCAACGTTAAGCGTCCCTTATGTGACGTAATTTCAATGTCCACTGACTGACTGACAGACTTCACACTACTGTATAGTGATTCGAGTAGATAAAACAGGTTACCCCTCCAGACGGCATTAGGTCCACATTCGGGGAACTATCACAATATGTAGAATTATACACGGACTTTTCTCTACGTCTACAATGTCGACACTACGTCTATGACTGTCACAATGACGATACTACATCTATAACTATCACAACGACAACACTTCAACCGCTACGTATGCTAAGTTTAATCTCACGTTCTAACAAAAACTTAACAAATTAATTAACAATAGAATCACATTTCATTTATTTGTATCCATTCTGAGTCTCTCTTAAACAGGTCCCCCAAATTTCCTGTCCAAATTCTCGTCCCTGACCCTGAAGAAAGGAGAGAGAGCAACGATTCAATGTAACAGTGTTGGAGAAAACCCTATATTTATACAATGGCTTAAGAATGAAAAGAAGTTTAATCCATCAGACCAAAGGAGGTAAGAATTGACCGCCAGGAAAAAAAAAAATGTTCGAAAAATGAAAAAACGTTCAACTTACCTTTTTTTTTCTCAGGATCAGCCTGACTTCACGTAGGTAGATGTTGCGTTAGCTGGGTGTATCTAAGGCGTTCTTACAACAGCTATTTATTTTTGGACATAATTAATTTTTTCTTTCCGCGAAAAAGCAAGAAGAAGAAGAACAACAACAACAAAACGTATCGATTTAGACCAAGAAAAGTACATCTCAGTGGTACTAGTTATGATAAATCTCAGTGGTACTAGTTATGATAAATCTCAGTGGTACTAGTTATGATAAATCTCAGTGGTACTAGCTATGATAAATCTCAGTGGTACTAGCTATGATAAATCTCAGTGGTACTAGTTATGATAAATCTCAGTGGTACTAGTTATGATAAATCTCAGTGGTACTAGTTACGATAAATCTCAGTGGTACTAGTTATGATACATCTCAGTGGTACTAGTTATGATACATCTCAGTGGTACTAGTTATGATAAATCTCAGTGGTACTAGTTATGATACATCTCAGTGGTACTAGTTATGATAAATCTCAGTGGTACTAGTTACGATAAATCTCAGTGGTACTAGTTATGATAAATCTCAGTGGTACTAGTTATGATAAATCTCAGTGGTATTAGTTATAATAACTAAGATGAGCTGGCTGATGACTAAATTAAAGTATATCTCATAAACCACCAGACGTAAGTGTAAAATAAAATGGTTTATAACAAGAAAAAGAAATAGATCGTATAGTTGGAATTAAAACATGTTGATCACACAAAAAATAGAAAAATAAAGTTATACTTTTTTTTGTTTTTGCTGAATATCAATCATTTTTGGCTCAGTAATAAATTTGAGGGCTTGTAATGGTAACATTCGGTGCTCGATACCTGTGGGGGCACAGAATAGATAACCTATTGTGTAGTTTTGGGCTTTAAAAAATAATAGAAGATAGAATTATCAAAAATCATACAATACTTTAAATTGAAAGTCATCTCTAGGGTATGAGTTAATAATATTGATATTAACTGTCATTTGGAAAGCAGTTTCTCAATGCTAGACAGTAACTTGTAAATCAGCATCTCAATTAGCACAGTCATTGGATAGCAATGTCTTGAAACTCTACCGGTGAGTATCTACGGGGCCCGGCATGGCCAGGTGGTTAGGGCGCTCGACTCGCAATATGAGGATCGCGGGTTCGAATCCCCGTCACACCAAACATGCTCGCCCTTTTAGCCGTGGGGGCATTATAACGTGACGGTCAATCCCACTATTCGTTGGTAAAAGAGTAGCCCAAGAGTTGGCGGTGGGTGGTGATGAGTAGCTGCCTTCCCTCTAGTCTTACACTGCTAAATTAGGGACGGCTAGCGCAGATAGCCCTCGTGTAGCTTTGCGCGAAATTCAAACCAAACTAATAAGTATGTACGGGGAAATTTGATGATTAAAGAAGACACACGTCTTTATAAACGCTTCACATTGGTTTCTTAATTTGAATCAACTCACTGATTTCTGGACAAGCAAACCTGTTCTCTTCGATAAACTGGATGATCATGGAAAATATTAAATCAATAATCATTGCAAAACACCCAGCGTACTGGTAAAATGCGATAATAATTAAATGCGTAGAATATCCAATAACATTTCCCATTACTTCGCATAGTTCAACAGAAAGACATACAGGTTATTAAATAGAATAGTTAATCATCAAAGTGACAAATATTTGGTTATTAAAAATGACCAGATTTAGGAAGGTTTGCAGTAGCTCAGGAGTATTGAATTTATTGGGTAAGCATTAAACAAATATAATCAAACTAGTGATATCAAAATTATTCAGAAGCCACAAATATCTTTAAAAAAACTTTCAAGTTTTACCTATGAGAAGATTGTATTAAAAACATTATTTTTATGCTAATTTTGTCTTTCCAACGTCTCTCTATTTCATCCTTACTTCTCGTCTGCGCCATCCGACAGCAGCTTGGAATATGGGATTAAAGAAAGAAAGAAAAAGAGAGACAGATAAGAAATAGTTTCTTCAATTTAGTTCAATAATAGAACTTATGGCGTATGATATGTTACAACCGAATTCAGGGGGAATTCCTGAATATCTAAAAAATTTCGAAACCGTTCAAACCTTTAGCTATTTGGACGTATCGAAAATGACGGACATTTAAATGATACATCTTGCTGTAACTATTTGTTTTACTTGCGCTCTAGTTATTAAATACCATCTAATATATCTAAAGGATGTTGTCATAACGTAACGTTTATGTTGTAACTGAAATTGCCGAATGAAAAAAAAAAAAGGCCCAAAAAAGTTTTTTCCTGCCCTTTACTACAGAAGATGTAAAATCTTTAAAAATTTCTTAGTGGAAAACGTTACTCATATTGAACTGATTTATATCTATGATCATTGATTTTCCGTAATAATTATTAGATATTTCACACATGTACAGTGTGAAAATTATAAATGGTTTGGGTAATTTTATAGTATCTAATATATTTCAAAAATGTTGAATAAGTTTGTTTGTTTTTAATTATGCACAAAGCT